TGTCTCCCAGGTGGGGCTGCTGGTGCAGAATGATCACTGTGTGTCTCCCAGGTGGGGCTGCTGGTGCAGAATGATCACTGTGTGTCTCCCAGGTGAGGCTGTTGGTGCAGAATGATCACTGTGTGTCTCCCAGGTGGGGCTGCTGGTGCAGAATGACCACTGTGTGTCTCCCAGGTGGGGCTGCTGATGCAGAATGATCACTGTGTGTCTCCCAGGTGGGGCTGCACTTCAGTAGGGCAGAAAATAGGACCCATGTAATGCAGGGGCAGTTCTGCCAATGGTTTAACATGGAGACAAGCCACCCCACATAGAAAAAATCTATTTCACAGACTCTATATACATGTATATCCATTTTCATATGAATTAGGTTTAATCAGCTTCCTGTCCTGTGGTCAAGATCTGCGCATGAAGATCAATGGGCCAAGGCAACGTTCTTTCCCGACTAACAGCAGTGGTTAATTTGAGAAGTGAACAATCTTACATTCGAAATCTGAGACTTTTACTTTCGTTTATGATGATATGGTGCAACAGATGTACCGTACTTGTATGGTGTTAAACTTCTTGTGTCAATATCACGTGTCCTCTTTAGCAGGTGTTGGTTAAAACTATTTCTCAGTAAACACTAATAATAAGAAGAGTTATTTTCCATCCTGTCTGGCTTGTTTGCAAATCAGTATTAATCCTTCAGCCATTTCTTGAACAAATGTGGATTAATGACGTGTGGTGACAATCATTTTCAAGAACTCGAAAGTGAAACAGTATCCTTCATTTTCCAACCACAATTTTAATTTAATGTTTGCAATTTTACTCTTTGGTTGGTTTTTGGATCGACTGTGGAGGAAAGAATTCAAGTGGAAAATTAAGTTTACAATAAAAATGCTAATCATTATAATAAAAAATCAGTATCTAAATCAGGCTGACAGAGAAAAAAACACTTTAAATCCTCACAGCACTTTTTTATAAAATAATTGTAAACTTATACCCTCAAAATAGGTGTAGAAACAAAACCTACAGTCCACGTAAGTCTACTCATGAACTGCAATTGGAATTATTTCATCTTCGGCGCATTTCAAGTTAATAACAATAGTTCTTCATCTCTTTCAGATTGAACGTGTCTGATGCTGATAAGTTTCCACACTTTTGCAATTGACACACCTTCAGGACTTAGCACACCACCCTTTGAAAGTGCAAGAACTACGAGAATTCAGCCTATTTGCTCAGTATTGTATATCTAATTGATTCAAGGAATCCAATCAGCTGTTTCCTTAAAGCAACCAGTCTATCGGCTTAATGTTAATAAATGAGCCATTGCTCAGAGTCTTTTTGCTTTTTGTAAAGTGAAAGTAAAACTGTATCCTCAATTTTTATGCCCATATTATCTTCACACACTTCTGTTTGATGTCACATTTTGTTTTCAACATGGAGAAATGAGGTGAACTCTTAAAGAACAGCTCAATTCCAATTCAATTTCAAACCACCCTTCGAAACTGACAGAAATACTCACTCGGACGAGACGCGCCGCCAGTCGCCATTTCAGAAGAGCAGAAGTAACGGTTAAACACCCCCTTCCTGCCTCTGTCATGAACACTAATAAGGGAGCTGAACAGCAGCGACTGGCTGTGGTTTATAGACTGAGCTTCAAGAGGAACCTCTTACTGCTGCAGTAACTTTCATCAGGAAGCGTGACAAGCGTGGCTTTTGTAGCTGCACTGACATTTTAAGCAACGAACACGACTTTGGCAAATATTCCAGATTAACACCTGTCATCAGCAATATCAGCAATATTGAGCAGCAGAAGATCTTGCTGTGAAAAGTCACAGGCTAGTACGTTTGTGATCACTGCTGGAAGCAACACACGCTGAACATCTGTCTCCTGTGTTGGTCCAGCTTGCAGATCTTGTGGGACTCTCAGCCTCTTGCAGGATTATCGCTTACAGCACAGTGATCTCCCTCTGTGAGAGCTGTTTCTGATTCATTCCAGAAATGCTGTGAATCTGCCAATATTTCAATCTACCGTGGTGCTAGAAATTTTCTGAATTTCTGCATAAAGTTGACCTAAAATGTGATCATATCTTCATCCAAGTCATAAAAATAGATAAAGAGAACCCAATAAAACCAATAACACAGAGAAGGATATACTTTTCCATTCGTTTATTGATTCTTAAAAGCTGGTTTTAACTGAAGAAAACTTTACATCTTAAAAATCTCATATCCAACAAACAGCAGACGGCCTTTGATATGTGAAGATATCCACGAGATTTAATGATTTCATGGATAAAAAGAAACCCGTATTCTCGAGGGACATTTTCAGGTGTTTATATTCCTATTATCACACCCCAACATCCTTTTTTTTAAATATAGATATATTTTTAAAATAAGTTTTTATTTAAACACCAGAAATACAAAAAAAGGAAACAGAATAATGAAATAGATACAGAAATAGAGACTTCACAGCCAGAGGAATTCACGAATGTAAAAACTAAAAATTGTACTTTTTACTTATTTCCATTGTATTTCTTGCCTTTTGATTCTTTAAATTTCTAATAGAATTTAAATAAAAAACGAATTCAACATTCACACCCCAACAGCAGCAGGTGGGATCAGCTCATCAAGGCGATAAGGGAGACCTTTTCAGAAGAAAGATCAGTCAGAATTCGTTTAGGTTTAGAATTCTCTTCATTTATTTAGGGTACACGAAAGAAAAAGACTTTTCTCTCCAGTGACTGTCAATTGTACAGCGCAGCAGGGTTTAAGAGTGTAGAGTAATTCAATAGGTACTATGATAACAGCACAAGTTCTCCCTGTTACTAAAACAGTCCACCAGATCAGAGAATCACAGTGCAGATTTTATGCAATTCTGAAAAGCAATTATTGCATAATTTTGACATGATTAATTTTTGAACAATAATCATGTTTTCCAAAATAGAGAAAACCTAATTATTCTTGTTTTCAATTTCGTCTGGTGGCCTTACTCTTTCAGGCTGTTTACAGTGTCCTCTTTGGTGATGTTCTTCCATCCTTCGGGAATCGCCCCACGATCGCAGAATATTCCAGAATACCTCTTTTCCAGGTGCTCCTGAAATCGGCACACAACCCATTTCCAGTAGGGCTGCTCAGAGCAGTCCGGGGTGATGCTCCAGTGGGCGTGCTCTGGACCAGCTTCTCTGTACATCTTGTAAGGCACACTCCTGTCGTTAGACAACATGATTAAATCAGTACTAGCAACTGCAGAGGTGCAGATGTCAACAGACAGCTGGTCTGCCTTGTTCCACTTCCTCCCAGTAACCCCTTCAGGCCGATGGAAGGGGACACTGTGGTCCCCAGGGTGTCCTTCCATGGTGTTGGTACAGATGGCTTTACAGAAGGGGCACTGAGCCCAGCACCCACACAGCAGCCTGAACAGGATCTCATCGGGGGTCTCTCTGAACATGCCCATGTCCACAGAGGAGACACAGCTCAAGACTCTCCTCAAACCCTCAGTGACCTTCTGGAGAGAACCAGTCACTGCTTCCTTAAGGAAGTCAAAGTCACCGATGCCCTGGTGTTGAGCACCTGCCAGGTCATGCTCTGTGAACCTGAGCTCATCTCTGAGCTCCCTGGAGAACATCTCCAGCCACACGTGCACACCTTCCTTCTGGTGTTGAACCCTTTCCACCGCGCTTGAAGCTGCAGCAGTTACATGGTGCTGCAGTAGATCCAGGTTGTCCTTGAAGATCCCAAGGATTCTGGGTTCAGAATCCATGAGATAAGACGGCCTTACAGACTGGGTGATAAATTCTTCAAAATGCTTCCTTGGGTGATGGATGTAAGTCATGAACTTGTCAAAGTTCTCCTCTTCCGCCAGCGCCCTCAGGATGTGCTTCTCCAGGTTAGACCTGTTCCCACTGAATGCTGGGAAATTGGCCCTCATGTCTCCAGCCACGTCAATGGCTGTTCTGTCATAGACGGCCTGCAGGAGTGACGGCTTCAGTTTGCTGCACAGAAAGTCTGCAAACACAGTGGTGGATGTTGCACCTTGACAGAACTTCCTGAAGATGCTGTAATAGTCTCCTTTCTTACTGTTCAGGTGAGTCAGAGGGTCATTAGCCTCCCTGAATGCTCTGTGAAGCTCAGTGAACTTCGGTACTGCAATGCCACACACAAACAGTGAAACATCAACTTTAAATTCTTTTTTAAACACATATTTTTTGGTGTTTGATTCAAAAGCTTTGATACGTTCCAAAACATAATTTAAAATCTCCTGTATGTAACTTTCACTGTAACCCATCTTAGCCATATGCTTCTTTTTAATGTATTCCTCAACCGTTCTGTCTAGGTCCTGCACTAAACGTTTAATTTCATCATGATCTGTAGACTTTAGTTGATAACTCATGAATCCAGGTGCATATTTGTGTTTGTTTATTATAAGATAGTCAGCATAATCTGACAGGTAGCAGATGTTTTTATAAAGACCATGATACTTGTTAGAATACACAAGCTGACTTTCAAACATCTGTGTCAGGATCTTCATCACATCCTCCTGTATGTTGATGTCTTTAATGTCTGGCATGGCAGATGTTATATCTGATGCCCATTTCTTCCAGACTAAATCAAACTCTCTCTTCAGATCGTGTTCATTGCTAGCCTTGTGCTTCAGTGTGTGAGCCACCTCTTTGCTCCTGTTGAACAGCTCGTTTTCATACTGAGTCTTCTGATCATCCAGATTTCTACAGCCTTTCTTCAGCTGGATCAGCTCATCAAATTTCCTTCTCGTTCCCTCAATCAGCTCATCCTTCAGCTCCTGGATTCTCAGCTCAGTTTTTGCTTTCCACTGAACCAAGATCTCCTTGTCTTTATCATCATTGAAATACTGATCCACCTCTTTCTGGATACTTTCATAAGCCTCTTTCATGTCCTGAAGCAGGTTGTGTTTGTTCACTGACTGTGTTTGTCCATTCTCGATCCTGTTGTGCAGCTTGTTCTCGATGGCCAGCGTGTGGCTTCTGAGTTTCCAGGTCCAGTTTCCATACATGACCTCCAGTTTCCTGTATGCTGAGATCTCCAGGGTGTTCTTGAAGCTGAAAACAAAGTTTTCATTCAGCAGTGCTTTCCAAAGATCCTGAATCCTGATTCTGAACTCTGACAGGTTCAAGCCTTTCTGCTGTGATGCAGTGGAGAGAATCGCCTGCTTGAGTTCCTGAATATTTTCGCTGTACCGGGGGTTAGGAGGAGCCATCGGAGGATTTCCTTCCCAGAGCTGTGCGAAGTAGTGAACATCTCTCTTCACATCAAACCTGATGACATCATTGAAGCACTCCACGTCACACACCTCTTCCTTCGCCGCTAAACGAGCCATTTCGTCTAGTTTCTCCTGCAGTCGTCTCTTCCCCTCCATGTTCTTCTCTCCAGCTGTGATCTCCCCAACGTTCTGGTGAACAAACATGCAGCTGGGACTCAGCCTCACCTGCTTCATTCGGAGAAACGCCTGGACTGAGATCTGCAGGATGTCCTGCATCTCTGCAGGGTTCTCTCCAAATATGTTAATCAGGGTCATGTTTCCAAGACCGATGACGAATGTGGCCAGTTCATTGTCATGATGGATGGTGGATTTCCCAGCAAGCTCTAGGGCTCTTAGCCCCTCAGTGTCCACAACCAGAACATAATTGAACTTGAGCTCCTCTCTCAGCTCCTCCTTCACCTTGACCAGCTGCATGAAAGCCCCCCGGGTGCACCTGCCAGCACTGACCGCAAACTGCAGGCCGAACATGGCGTTCAGCATGGTGGACTTCCCCGAGCTCTGAAGGCCCAGCACTGACAGCACAAAGACTCTCTGGTCTCCCAGCCTCTCGACCACTGTGCCCAGGACTGAGTCTATCCACCTCAGAGGGACATGAGCAGCGTCTCCATCCATCAGTTCCACTGGATTCCCAGCGATCAGGAGATCTGCAGCCAGGGCAGGGAAAGAGGAAACGTCCTTCCCTGTTTCTCCAGGCTGGGATTCCCAGGCTTCATAAATCTGACCCATCTCTCTCAGAAGGTGCTCCAGCCCAAAAGTCGCTTCATTCAGCCGCTTTGACAGTGACTCCAGTTCTCTCTGTCTCCTGTTCAACACTTCTGATTTGTCATGTTTCTTTTTTAAAGTCAACACCTCTGTCCATTTGGCGTCATATTGGTGATGTAGCTCTGAAAGCTGATCTGAACAGTGAGCATCTATAAAGACTCCCAGCCACTTCAGGAAGTACATTTGTGGTATCATTTTGTGTGACTTCAGTTTTTTTAGATACATTTTCATCAGTTCGCTGAGTCCAAAGTCTCTTTGCTTTTTTCTTATTTTTTTTATTTCCTGCAGTATTTCACTCCTGGTCTGTTCAATGTTGCCATGTAAGCGATGAAGATCTTTGTTCTTCTGGCACCAGTCATGCCACAGTTTTCCCTGACAGGGCAGGAAGGTCTCCTTGATTTTGGAAATGTCCACTTTCTTCAGCAGCTGTATTACCTCCAGGGCACTGTCCTTCCCTCTCTTACAGTCCTCACTGTCTTCATCAACCCTGAACCCACAGCCTCTAGCAACACTCTCAAGACTGAAGGTGGGATGTGATCTCTTAAAACAATTCCTAATAGTCCCTGTCAGTTCTCCAACAATTTCAGCCTGATTTCTGTCCTTGAGTCCTATTTTAAACTTGTTCCCAGACACTCCAGTTAGAGGTGTGTCTTCTTCAGCAAGCAGACAGATCAGAGGCCTGGGGGAGATGAAGAGCTCCTCTAAGATGTTCCTGCCTTCATCATCGAGGTGACGATCAGCCAGGAGGACGACATTGACAGCTGCAGCACCAACTAGAAACTCCCTCTGCCTCCTGTGTTCTCCTGCATCTCCACGCAGGTTACAGAAGGCAACACAGTCCTGAAAAACATCATCACTCCTCCCTGCAGGACAGTACCAGGCGATTTCCACAAGCCCGTCCAGCAAGAGACGGCTCCTGCTGCTACCTGGGCAGTGTCTGTGGAAGAACGTGTTGTGTCTCTGTGTGCTGATGAGAGAGTTCAGGATCTGGGATTTGGAAGAGGATACAGAGCCAAGCCTGAAGAAGGACACCATTGGGACCTCCACCTGATAGACAGGCAGGGTCCTGCTGGTGACATTGCCTGAGCTGTCCACTGTCTTCCAGCTCTTCTGAAGCTGTTGGAATGTCCACAGTGGGAACTCGATCTCTCCAGTGACAGGACTGGGCACTAGCAGTGGCAGGGCGTACTGACAGAAGCACAGCTTGGTCACCATGTACTGCCTCAGGAAACTGTCTGCACAGTACAGAAGAGCCATCTGGACATCCATCGGGTGAATATGGACAAGCTGTCCTGTCACATTATCAGTGCTGGGTCTTTTTCCTGTATTTAAAAAGCTGCTGAAATCACTTTCCTTTCCTGCCTTCCCAGATTGAAAGCTTCTCCCCTCACTGCTCTCCTGTTTGACTGTCACATGTCTGGCTCTGTAATCCAGCATCAACAGCTTCTGTAGAAAAGCAGAAGACAGGTCCTGCTCTTCCAGAGGCTTGTCCTTCAGTAATGGAGATCTGCTGATTGCAAGAACATCAGATGTTGACATTTTACTGGGATAAAACCGTGTTAGTCCCAGCCTACAGACCAGCTCGCTGCATTTGTCTTTCTGTGTTTGTGGTGTCTTTGAAACTAACTTGTTTCTAGGTCTTTCTATCGTAGTCTTCAGAGGTTTTTTAACACTTTGATCTCTGGTAGCACAGTGTGGTTTGTTTCTGTTCTCCCATGTCTCAGTTGACATAGACTTTCCTTCCTCATGCTTTGGGTACCTGGTGAGGTCATCAGGCCCACTCTCCACAACATCAGTTGCTCTGTGATTGTACACCTCTGAGAGAGCAGTGCAGATTCTGCTCGCATCTTTAAAACAACCGCTGTGATTGGACATGATGATGTCCCACACCGGCAGGAGACTGAGGCTCCTGTCTATCACACTCCAGGTTTTGCTGTGGGAAACAATGCTAGCTTTCCAGGGAAGATAGCTGTTGCTTCCAGAAGGCCCTCCAGTCTGTGACACAGAGAATTCTATGTGTTTAATAGCAACCTGAGATAAACTGTTGAACTGCAACCCACAAAAGCCCTCACCAATGTACTTATTCAATATTTCATCCATGAGCTGCTTGTCATCCAAAAGGTCATTTGCACTGTGTCCCTCACAATGAGCTTTCCAGAAGAATATTCCCCCAAAGTGAAGAGGACCCCGATTCGCATGAGAACCAAACCTTTCAAAAAACGTCTCAATCCTCTTTCGCCTGTCTGAGGCTCCAGCATGATCCAAATTCTGTTCTATCTCCTGCAGTGCTGCGAGTGCAGAGTCTGAGAGACGGAGCTGGTCAATTTCAAACTGACAAGATGCTAATGGAATACAATTGTACTTTGTTATAGATGTGTAGGTCCTGGATGATTGGTTGTTTAGCTCCTCTTGTGAAAATTTAACGGACTGATACTCTGCATCCACTCTGGGATCTAGACTGGTGCTCTTCATGCTATAAGCTGCATTTTCCAGGGCTTTTCTGAACCTTGTCTCCTGCTCACTGGAAAAAGCTTCGTGCTGGTCAAACCTGGGTTTGTGCACTGGGTCAGAAAGACAGAAGCGGTCTGGTGTTTTTAGAAGACGGTCTCGTGTCTCCAGCATGCCTCCTGGGCCACAGGTCTTGTACAAACCCTGCAAGGCGAGGCCTCCTGATGCGGACGACAGAATCTCTTCATCGGGCAGCTTTTCTGGATTCAAAACCAATGACTCCATGACTTGTAATTGATCACTTAAGTGATATGTCAGGTCTCTTAAATGCATCCAGTTTGGAATCCAGTGCTTTATGGGTAAATCTAACGCTGCCTGGAGCTGCTGTAAGGAAGCCTGCACTGTGTTGTCTTTAACATTTTTACCTTGGGATCGGTATGTGTTCAAATTTTCAAGGGCCAGTTTTGCCTCAGTTAACTGAGTTTGCAAATCCTGCATCTGTCTCTGCTGTACTTCACTGAATCGGTTCTGTGTCTTCTCCGTTTTTACACTGGACATGTTCTGTGTAGAGAGTCCTGACTCCCAGTCAATTTTATGATGCTCTTTCTTGTAGCTGTAGTCAACAGATACGTTTTGATTTCCTTTGGTGATTTCCTTCAAAATGAATAACACATTGATTAGTATGTTTAATAAGACGGGGTTTCACTATGTACTTCTTTCATTAAAATAATTACAGGCAAGATAATTAAAAAATCTAAACCAACTGAGTTTTCACATTATGCACATTCACTCATTATGAATTAACTTGCATATGTAGAATTTACTAATTGTAAGACACACAATCACATTTCAATATAACAGGCCCAATCACAGTTTTAAAATGAATACATCATCCCTGGAACTGAAGGCAGAAGTGCCTGGTGATATTCTTTATAGTATGAGACAACCAAGGAAAGCATTTTAGGTTGCAGTCTAGT